AAATTTTATATCTTTCTTCCTATCTAAGCATGTACCTTACAATACATATACGATGGGTTTACAACTTTCCACGTGAAGTTGCTCGTGTGTTTAGCACGGCGCGCTGCGCGCGCCCCACCCCTTTTCCCCATCGCCCCCCGCCCCACCCCTCCTTCCCCCCATCACCCCCTCCTCACCCCACCTCCACCCCCTTTCCACCTCTATAATACACAAAACGGTTAAGCATTTAATTAATTTCGTGAATGGTGAATCTCTATGGTAGAATAGATGGGGTAGAGGAGAGGGTGGGGCGGGGGGTGCGATGGGGGGAAGGGTGGTGGGGCGGGGGGCGATGGGGGAAAGGGGGTGGAGCGCGCGCAGCGCGCCGTGCTAAACACACGCTTTATTTAATCAACTTTGTATGCATATAACTTTTTAACGAACTACGAGCGACGGCTAAAACCTCTTCAAGGTCACTCAGGAGGGCGACCTTGACAACATATGTCAAGGTCAAGGTCATCGGGGCGGGCTCCCCTCTTCTGCAGTTTTACCGAAAATGTTGCTGACAATTCAATGATTAATATCGTTCCACAAAAAAAGAAAGGGAATGTTGCTGCCACTAATTCGACCACTTTGAAAAATACTGAAAATCTGCGTGTAATAGATGCATTCACTAATATTGAAAATCTGCAAGTAATGGATGCATACACTAATACTGAAAATCTGCAAGTAATGGATGCATACACTAATACTGAAAATCTGCAAATAATGGATACATACACTAATACTGAAAATCTGCATGTAATGGATGCATATACTGAGTCCTCGACAGTGATTACCAATAATGCTTCACAAATAAAGAAACAAGCTGTTGCTGAAAAATGGTTGAGCATTTTGGAAAATATAAAAAATGTACACCTACCAAATAAATGGACTTGCATGACTTTCCCTAATTCAGTGGTCATTGGAATATGGAAACCGAATGGTAAACCCGCAAAACGTCTCGTTGTGAAATCTGATTTAACCATTCAGGTAAAAAAGTTATTTTCTACAATAACTTGCAATATTTTACTCTTTTCTGTCTTTCTTTCATGACATTAATCTGAAAACATGTAAAAATTCAACATTCTAGTAGATACCCAAGCTGGAGTTCCGATATTCACTGTCAGTATTAAAACTCTACAGTTTACATCATGTTCACAGTAGATTTTCAGTACTGCTGGTGAATATTGGAATCCAAGTAAGGCGTTTACTAGATATTTATAGTTTACGACTATGAGCTACTAACGTTCAGGATATTACAAACGTTTTGTTCTATCAAATTTTATATCTTTCTTTTATCTAGGACATTCATCGAGAACAAAGAAATAAATTTGCCGGGAATGACTGTCCTAAATTCTGTAGAGGATATTATGAAATATATTAGCGTACTGCAATCTGTTCTATTGTGCCAAGGAAGATATAATGGACAATGGTAAATATTTTTACAATTTATTGTGATAATTCGTTTTTGTATAAATCGCCATTGAATTGTTCTTCTTGAATTATGTGCAGGTTCTCCAAACAATGCCTGGGATTTGTTGATCCTAAAGATTCAGGGAAATTATACTTTGGAAAATTTCGGTGTGCTCATTGCCGCGTGAGAATACGTAAGAAAATTCACCAAAAGAAAAACATTCAAAAAAGGATAGAAATAGCGCTATGTGCTAAGCGACGCAACCAACTTACAGTGAAGGCGGAGAGACAACAAAAAAAAGAGGCTAATATCCAAAGTAGAACTTTCAAACAAATATTTCATTCAAGTATATTTTCATATGTAAACTTATTCATAATATAAGATTTGGCATCATATTAGATAAATTGTTTGAACGAAGTGATTCGAAAACTACGAATAAAATATACCGCCACGCAAGAAGAGGTTCTCAAGGAACGAATTTCAACACTGCCTCCCGGGCAACAATTAAGAAGCTATCAAGACATGCTTCAAAGCAGCAACATGCTCTAAACATGGTATGCGGTATACAAAGCAGTGGATCTACGAATATCTGTTGATGTGGATTAAAAGCAGGAAATTGTACGACCATGTACGGTCACATGATATACTTGCAGTTCCTCATGTCGATATACACTTCATAAGTACTTACGGCAGACACAAAATGCATACGGATTTAACGAGGCGATATTCAAATGTTTGAGAAAAACATTAGAACAACTAAATTCTGATGAAAGAAGAGGTATTATACAAGTTATGCAGCCTGTACGATCATATTTGACCGCATAATATATTTTATTATTTATCAATCCTAATTTTCTAGGATCGTTGCTTATCGACGAAATAAAATTGAGTAAAGCATAATTGAAATTCAACGTATAAATGTCAATTCGAAGGATTTGTCGATCTCTGTGATTATACGCCAGAATATCAACAGAATGAAATTGGAGATCGCGCTCTCGTTATTATGTATCAGCCATTCCGTGATCGATGGGTTCAGGCTCTTGCATGCTTTTGTAAGAGCCGAGGCGCCTGAGCGCCAACGCGCCTGTGCGACCAACGAGCCACGCGCTAGCGAGCCGCGCGACCGGGCCGCACGAGCAAGCCGCGACCGAAAATGCTAGATCACGGGCGCGGAAATACAAGGGCAAATTTCATAATAATAGAGGGGAAAAGACAAGGAAACGGCCAGTGCGTGACCGTTTCGAAAAGACACTCGCCTTCGAGAAGGGACACGCGCCGGTCGGTCCTGCGAGTCAGTACGTGCGAAAGATAGATTTTTGTAACGGAGTTGCGAATAACTCAGAGCAGTGCGATTTATTGCGAGCAGTTATAGTTGAATGAATGAATGAATGAA